AAGATCTCTTCCTACCTCACAAACAGAAGCATGACAGCTTATGTTCTGGACTACCTTTTCAAAACTGTTTGCATAACGAGTAGCCTGGGAAGATAAAGGTGATGTCTCTCCTCTGGAACGAAGGGGCAGATCTGCCTGTGGTCCAGTATAACACAGATAATGCCTCCTGCTAGGCCAGAGAGCAGGTCTGCTTGAAGACTATTACAAAAGATTCAGGTTGCTCAGCTTGGGCTTCCACTGTGCGTCACCCAGCCCAGGCAGGTGCTGGACTGTTCCGTGGGAACCAAGGCTCGGAGAACTGGTTCCAGAAAATGATGATATTGTAGCACTACAGCTAAAGGTAATGAACTGTCCTTGGTCCCTAACCCAGGGGTCTTATGTCTTCTGCTAGCACCCATGCAATAAATGATGGCCAACTTCTTTGTTCTCTTACAAATAGGATAAAGTCTCAAGACACTTAACAGTTCTTGCAATTAGTTACGCTGTGTCATGATCAACCCCTGTCATCCAGATAAGTGGCTGCAAAAGGTAACCACTTTTGACCCACTTACACTGCAATCTTTGGACATTCTTCAAATAAACGGAGAAGGCAGGACTCGTTTATCGCAAGAGTCTATGAAGCTGCTGATTAATTGAGCAGCATAGGTAAACTGTGAAGATATTGTACACAACATACTAGAGAGTATTTTTATTAAAGTCTGCAAAATAATTAAAACCTATTTTGCGCACAGATTTTGAATCAATTTGCAGAACTCAGGATCTCAGTCTGAAAAACACGCCTATACCAGAAATGGAATAAGATGGAGTCAAAAGCTTAGAGACTTTTTTTTTTACTCCAGCTCCATGATCTAGGGTGACATCATTCATTAAACCTCTCTCCAGCTCATGCCCTGCCCCCACCTCTACCATGAGATTAACTGTGCCTGCTGGGTACAGCTCACAGAGGACCAAACATGTTAGTGTATAAGATGCTTTGTAAATTCTGAAGAGGCGAGACAAAGGTACAACTCTTTGTTATCGCTGCTTGTCATTAAAAGCAAGCTCTCGGTCACTGTCTCGGTAGGAGTTCAGCAGCTAACAGCCATCCCGGTCTGCAGAGTCCTTTGTTCGCTCAGAAAATATTTATTGTGCCAGGTGCTGGGAGGGAACAGGAAAAAGATCCCAGGGTCACATGGTAACCTCTGATAAGATAAAACTCGAAAAAGGGCCTTCCCCTGTGGACAGTTTCTCCCTTCTATTCCTCTTCCGTCCGTGGAGGAGAGAATGTAATGGGAGCAGTAGGGACCCAACAGAGATTGAATGGCCTATGGGCATTTAAACCAATTCTTCAATCAGGTCAACACTCCTAGGCTGAAAAAAACAGACTTCTAGGGGATGGAGAGAGAACTGCTGTTGAGAAAACCAAAAGCCCTTTAGATAAACAAGTAAGCCAATGTCTTTCTGTACCAGATGTGGAAGAGCATTAACTCCACTTAAGACTGAGGTGAAATTAGAACTGAGAAATCTCTTAGACCCATGCTTGAATGAAATCTTAGTTCAAAATGAGCATTTCAACTATTAGTTTTGGTAAGAAAAGTCCAAATTATACCTCAAACTTGCATTCTCTTGTATAGCTAATTCTGTTTATCAGTCTACAGAACACTTTACAAATCCTTAGTCCAACTTTTTTCTTAAAGATATTTATTTTGCTAACTGCTGAAAAGATAATCAAGTTTTTTAGTTTGGTGCAGACACCTCAAACATCTTCCACCACGTAAAGGGAGGATGCATGGATTCGATGCTGTTCTTTTAAGTTACACATATTTATCCTGCTTACAAAGGTTTTACTTGAAAACTAGAAAGTGTACTGTTTGGGACAACGTGGGTTATGTGTGTGGCTGTGTGTCTGGGATGTTTGTGCTTATGCAAAATTAAGTGGGAAATGGTAAGCCTCTCCTGGAGAGAAGTCATGCCTTAGTATCCACATGTTCAAGTCCACGGTGAAGGTTTAGTGAAACCTTGTTGGTGAAAGGGCACTGTGCCCCGGACACGCTCAGATGAATTCCTCAAAGTGACAAAGTCTGGGCTGTGATCCCGGATCACACACCCTCCCTCCCACGCTCCCTTCCAGATGGCAGCAGGGGGTAAGCCCCAGGATGCAATCACGCTGAGGTCAGCCCCGTCGCATGTGCTTAAAAAAGTAGTTCACTTACTTACTGCCCACGAGAAGCCTATGAGGTCGACACAATCCATCTCTCCACTTACTAGATGGCCAAATGGAGGCCCCGAGACGTGAGACCACATGTCCAAAGGGCAAGAACCAGGATTCGCACCCAGGGAGCCTGGCTTCCCAACTCCTCACGGCTATGCTAGGCTAAATTTTAAAATAATATGAAAATAACAGGTGCCATTCATTTATATTCTTGTTTACTATGCTAAGAGCGACAGCTAACATTCCTTGGGCTCTCACGCTGAGTCAAGCACCGTGCTTAGCATTGTACAGACTGTGTTCCATTTAAGGCCCAAACAGCCTTTCCATGTGGGTCCCGCCATGTCTCCATTTGAGACTGCAGATCAGCGAGGTTTGGCAGCCTGCTGAAGGTCCCGGGGCAGGCAAGTTTGTGAGGCTGCTGGAGAGTCGGCGTGAGCTAGGGAACGGGGTGGGAGTCCTGTGGAGAATGCCACGTCTCCACTCCCTGCTCTCCATGGTTTCCCATTATACTAAAAATAAAGTCCTCGATTCCTATCACGGCCTTCTGTGATCTGGCTCCAACCCATCTCCTACTGTTCTCCCTTATTCCTCCTGCTCTCTCTGACACTCTGGTCTCCTTACTGACACAAGACGCACCAAGCACGTTCCTGCTTCCGAGCCTTTGCCCTTGTTGTGCCCTCTCTCAGGGATGCTCTGCTACCGAATATATCTGCAAGGCTCACTTCACCCAAATGTCACCTTTGCAGGAGTGTCTTCCCGACCCTCTTCTCTACAATACCTCACCACCTCCAGGAAGTCTCTTTTCTTTCTAGCACTGAAAACCATGAATTCTACCGCATTCTTCTTCATGTGACACCCATTTAACGTCCACCTCTTCCACTGGGGCAGAGGCTTCGTCTGTCTTTGGGTCCACGGCATGTTTCCAGGGCCTATAATTATGCTTGGCATGCAGTAGGGGCTCAGTGAATTTTTGTTGTATAATTAGTGCATTAATAAAGGGCCTGAAGGCGCAGAGGAGCCCCGGATGGTCCAGAGGCACGTAGTTCAGCATGAACAGCACATAGGATGGAAGGGGAGAAGCAACGGAAGGTGAGGCTGGAGAAGTCTGTTTTCTAGAAGGTATGACAACTTTCTCTACCTTTTCTTATTCTGGCATTGCCATCATACCCATTACCCAGCCTGTAGCAAGAACAGTTCTGTATCAGACATTTTCAGTTACTGCTCACCCTTGGAATAGGGTTAGAGAACCCCTTGGCTTCCTTCCTTGGAAGTGACATGTATGTCTTCGAGAACACAGAATCTTATGCAGGGGTGTCCAACCCATGGCCCATGAGCTGCATGAAGCCCAGGACGGCTATGAATGCAGCCCAACACAAAACCGTAAATTTACTTAAAATTCTACAAGATTTTTTTTTGTGATTACATATCACAATGTATTTAATGTGTAGCCCAAGACAACTCTTCTTCCAGTGTGGCCCAGAGATGCTGAAAGGTTGGACACTCCTGGAAGGGACTACCACGGTAATCTAAACACCTAGCACCTGCTAGAATTCTCCAGAAGGAACTGAGAAAGGAAAAGAAACAGCAAGAAAACTTGTATACAGTCAGGAAGACAATGGAGGTGTCGATGGGACCCTTCCATTCAAAGTCATGTAAGTCAGAGAGATGAGAGTTTCTCTACAGTTCAGTATTGACAGCATGTGACAGGTGAACTAGTACATATTGAGCATTAAGTGGCTGGACAATCCCAGCTTGGAAAACAGAGGCGCGCAGAACCTGGACAGGGGCAGGAGACCGGAGAGGGACAGAATCCAGGGCGGCCATCACTGTCACATGAGTAACTGAATTGGTTTTCATTGGTGGGGTCTAACAACAAGGAAGAATCAATGAGCTAAAATACTTGAGTACTTGCTACAATTTATTCTTTTAATTCCCACACTGAACTACACACCTAGGAGGTAGGTGCTATCACTACTTCAGTGTCAAAAAGAAGTTACTGAGGTTTCAAAGCCAAGGTGACAGGGCTAGAACCCAACCCTGTCTGGCTCTTAGCCATCATGCTACTTGACCTGACTCCCTGGGTCCCCTCCCCCATCCACCAACCCACCCATGGTCAAGTAGGCTGTTTTATGTGATAAGTATTTCAACTCCCAGAAACACTGAAAGGCAACCAGAGTGAAGAAGGGAGTGCCATTGCTCCTGCACTCCTCTCTCTTCTGGTTGCCCAGGGGAGAAAAAAACAAACAAACAAGGAAGGAAGGAAGGATGGAACAGGAGCTGCAGCTCGGAGACCACTGAGGAGATTCGAGATCCAGCAACCAAATACTCCCGGGCGACTGAAGACTCATTTCTCAAAGAGCTGAGAGGTTTTCCCTCATAGATCACCCTGCTATCTGAGGTTCTCTCCCTGCTCATTTCTTGACCTCAGCTTGAACTTCCATTGCACTTGACACTGCATCTCTAGCCATTTACAAAACTAAGCCTCCAAGTTACACAACAATATTTCATCATTCCATGGCAAACATCAAGCTCCAACCTTTTGTTTTCACTTCTGGAGTTTTGTTAAATCGACCTAAATATAGAAAATACTATTTACATACATTCTTTGTTAGGAATCTTATGAAACTGACTTAATTTCTGGAGAAAAGAAAAGCAAGTGAGTGATAAAATTTTCTCATTATTAAAGGAACAGTTATATAACCACCCCACATGGAAGCGCCAGGCTGAAGTCAAAACGATAAAAGACTAAAATAGCCCTGCTTTTCTCTCCAAGCGAAGGTTACAGTGGGGGCTTTCGTGTGCAACATACTTCTCGTACAGCCTCTGTCCTCTCATGAAGGCCTTCACTTCGTTGTCCAGTGGGAAGGTGCCGTCATCCTTTCTGAAGCGGTAGAAGAGTTTGACATCCTTGAATTCCTTGTGTTCATCACACACTGAAACACAATATACAGAGGGGGGCAAATGAGCAAAAAAAACCTCATGTAATTACTCAAAATATCTAAAATGCTAATGAAGATATGTTTACTACCTAATTTCTCAAGCACACTACTCTATGATTTAATGCACACAGAGTATTGAGCACGGGACCTGGAACAGAGTAAGTGCTCAGTATTATTAGCTATCATATCATATCATATCATATCATATCATATCATATCATCACTACTATCTAGTAAAAGGGTCGCAAAATTCCATTCATCATTCATTCCACAAACTCTGCTTGAGCATGATATTCGGGCAGGCGTCAACCACAAAGAATGTGAAATCTAATGCAATAAAGAGAAATGTCAACATGTGATTAAAATGCGGTGTGATGAGGCAATGGGAGAGGTGAGGAGATACTGGGAGGTCAAAGGAGGAGTACCCAGTACCCCAGTACTCTGGATTTGGGGACTGGATGCTTTTCGGAAAAGGGTGCATGTAAGTGGAGACCTGAACAATGCGTAGCAATTGGGCATACCAGCCCAAGAGGAAAAGAATACCGTATTTTGCCATGTATCATGTGTCCCTTTTGCCCAAATTTGAGAGGAAAATAAGGCTGAGCATTATACATGGGCAGTACTAGGATGTGGGTGTGCATTTACATGGCAAAATACGGTATGTGAAAGATCTTGGCCTGGGTTAGAGATTTCAAGGAGATGCGTTCATGAATATCCTTTGAACCCTTGAGAGCAACCGCAGAAAGCTGGAAAAACCCGAAATGGCCACGGAGAAACGTGTGACGGCACAATGACACACACCGTGTGCACAGCGGTGAAAGTGGGAAGCCGGAGATACACTATCAGTGTGATGTGTCTCCCCAAAAGTGCAGGGAACAAGCTGCAAAAGAATACACTTGCATTGCTATAATGATTTCAAACATTTAAAATGATATATGTTGCTAAGAGATGCATAGACAGAAAAGTATAAAGAAGCCCATGGAAATAAACCCAAATGCCTCTTGGAGGAAGGAAGGGAATGGAGCTGGGGAGAGGTACACAGCAGACAATTAAAGTAAAATGTTTTATTTCCTAAATGGGTAAGGTCAAGTCTGGAATACAAGATGTAGTCCTTCACTGCCCCTCAGTGCCCCTGACCGCCACGTCGCTCACCGTGATGAATGATGCCCCGGTCTGCTAACTTCTGCATGAGTTTAATCGCCGTCTCCCTGTCGGAAGCCTCCTTGTGCTCAATCAGCCAGTCGATCAGTTCTTTGGCGACAAAACAGTTTGGGTAGGTTTTGAGATGATGCCGCCTGTCTTTAATAACCTTTTCTTCATGCAGCCTGAGCCTGGACAGAAAATTTGGCAATCAGTTTAGAAATTTTGGTGACAACACAAGTGATTAAACCGACCCCAGAGGGCGGTGGCAGAATGGAAACTGGGCAGGTACCAGAGTACCACTCAAATATTTCCATGGCAGTGGGTGACTTCCACCCTGTCGGAGCCCAGGGCCCCCCGAGCGTGACTGCACCCCCAGATCTAGCGGTAACACAGGGAGATGGGAGAGAAACACAACCAGATGACCTAGAGCTCAGGAGAGTCACTCAGGAGACTGAGAAAAGCTGTCCCCCCACCCCCCACCTCACTCCCTTCTCTTGATCTCGCTGCCAGTGGACTTATGGCTTCAAAGAACAAAAACTCTGAGTCCAGGTACTTCCTCTCCATCACAGATTAATCAGGGTCCACCATAGTTGCATTCATTTATTCATACAACAAATACGAATGAGTGTCTATTACCTGGCCGTTAGTCACTTTTGAGCATTAGAACCATACATCGGAAAATACCCAAAGGTCATTGCCTTTACGGGTCTTGTTTCTTATACAGGCAAGGGGTAGTCCTTCCTGAGGCTCACCAGGTTCCAGGTGCTGATTGGAGCACTTTTACATAGATCGACTCACTTAATGTTCATAATAATGATCTCATCAGAACTTATTATTGCTCAGCCTTCCTTCCTCCCTCCCTCCCTTCCTTCCAACAGAGGGAACTGAGTTCTCTGAGACTGGCCTGAGACCACGCGGCTAAGATCTGACCCCTGATGATCTCATTTCAGAGTTCTGCTTTTCAATCGCCACATCACGCTGCCCCTAGCTAGGGAAGAATAATCAAAAAATCCTGGAAATGGATTAAAGCTGTCGAATAACTACGATTTATTTATAGGCTGATGGGTGAGGGTGGAGGGAAGTGGCTGACACAGAGCCTCCCTTGTTCCCTTCAGAACTCAGTGACTTTCTTCCAACAGTCTTAAACCTGCCTGAAAAAAAAAGTTTGTCCCATTTTTCTTTCTTTGTTTGATCAGCCTTGCATTTAGTCTTTAAGTCCCAAGTGAACCATCAGGTCAGTTTCCCTTCTCCTTCACCCACATGATTGCTATGCTCCTTAAGTCAGTTCTTGACATTGGGGCACCATGGGAGTGTCACGTGAGAAAATCACAAAGCAACTGTGTGCCCTGGGCGAGTAACCTAATGTCTCTTTGTTTCCTCGTAAAATGTAGGCAATTACACCTATCCTGTCCTTGCAGTGTGGAGATTTAGGGACAGAATGGTTGTGAAGCACCTGCTAGCAACCTGGCAGAGTGCCTGACACATCACAGGTCCCACCCGCCTTTCCCCCACTCCCTAAGAAAGGAACTAGATCATACTCTCGCCTGTTTTCTGGGCAGAGTGCACTGAGTGATAATGGGTTTTGATAACACAAAGGTTCTGATGGGGGGTTGGGAGCATATTGGGCCGGCGCTCTGAGGCCAAGCTGCTCTTCCTCGCTACACACTGGTATAGGCCGAGCAGCGTCCTCTAGAATTCCTATGTTGAGACCCTCAGCCTTTCAGAGCATGACCGAATTTGAAGATAGAGTCTTTTCAAAGACAATTCAATTACAATGAGGTCAACAGATTGGGCCCCAATCCAACAGGACTGGTGTCCTTATCAGAAGAGGAGACGAGGACACAGACGTGCACAAAGGGAAGACCACGTGCAGACAGACAGGGAAGATGGCCATCAACACGCCAAAGGGCGGCCTCAGCAAAACCCACCCTGCCAACACCTTGATCTCTGAGTTCTAGCCTCCAGAACACTGAGGGAGTCCCTCAATCCATGGTACTTTGTTAGGGGAGCCAGAGCTGACTAAGAAATCCAACTGTTGAAGACGGGATTAGTAGCCTGCATAGTCTGGGGACAAAGGACTCAGCTGGGGCATTGGCAGGGGGCAGGGAGAGGAGGAGAGAAATGAGGGAGTCCTGTCATCCGTTAACTGCACAGAAAGGAAAGAACGGGCTTCTATTTCATGGGCTTCCTGCCGTACGCCCCGCGTGATAGTGAGCATTTTCACACACGCTCACGTAACTAGCTGCAATGGCCTGATGTGCGCACCCCCACAACGTTTCTGTGTTGAAATACCAAACCCCAAATGTCAACCCACTTGGCTCTGCACCTGAAACTAATGTAATATTGCATGTCAACTGTAATTGAACATTTGAAAAAACATTTAAAAATTAATTTTAAAAAGAAAGAACTACCACCCACATGTCAGGTACCGGGACAACTGGGAGCAGAGGACTGGGAATATGAAGACCTGGCTGTCACCCAGAGGCTGCCTGTCGTTCCAGACGATCAAGCGTCCAAGCACGAAGGTCCCATCAATAAAATGGTGTCATACTGTCACAAAACTCACTCAGTGACAAGGACAAAGACGGTGTGTGAGCCCTTACTCAGAATGTGCTAAGTGGTTTTAACAGCTTGACTGTTATTAATCCTCATGCCAACTCCCCAAGGCAGGTCATGTTAAAACCACAAATGATACCCACGTAAAGATGTAATAATTACTAAAGAATAAATGAGCCCTAATTGTTCAAAAAATGTTCATAGAGGTGCACCAAAGTCATTGCATGTATCCTTCTAATAAATTCAGTGACAATGTCACTGAGTAATTTGTGAAACGTGCTCTAAGTGGCAGAATGTGGAACATTCATTCTTAGGCGTGATGTCTGTCAGGGACTCAAGAATAATGAAGACCAATTTATTTAGACATTGAAATGTGGGATAAGCTACCCTATAATTTGGAGGAGGAATAGGTTATGAGCCAAAAGAGGAGTTTTAGCTCCTGTAAACTTTCCAACTTTAAAAAATATGTTAGGGAATATTTACCTTTAAAGACTACAGAATAGAACCTTTCAGTTACTAGCCTTTCATGAACCCACACACTCAAGCTTGGTGCTGATTCTTGAACATGTTTGATTCGCACCAGTTCCCACCCTGCCTCATGAGGAAGCACTAGCCAGCACCCCTCGGCCCTCCAGGGCCTGGGACATTTCCATGTTTGGAAAATTGAACAGACATGTGATAGAGGGGAAAGAACTCGGGAGCCAGGAGTTAGCCTGAAACTTGATATTTCTAGACATGTAACCGAAGGTTAAAAATGCTCAATACCTGTGCTATCATCTTTGTTTTCTTTTATACTCAGAAACACAGTCTAAAAATGAGCCTGGAAAACTGCATATTCCAGGACCAGGTAGCCCAATAAAAAGGCGAGGACTTCTACCCTGCAAACACATAATTAAGTGTTTTGCCTGGCACCATGGGTCCTTAATAAATATTTGGTGAACAAATGAATGTACAAGGACACTCATAGAAATGCCCCATTTTTTTTTTTTTTTTTTTCACAAAGGTGAGGGGGCATCTCACTAACTTGGGAGGAGTTCCCACCCCACAACTTAGTAAGTGTCTACTATCATGAAATCGTCATCTAAGCCTTTTAAAAAACTATTTATGCTTGCACTTCTAGGGTAACCAGTTTCTGGAGTTTTCACCCCTTAAAAGAGTTGTCACAGCTTTTAATACACTCACATGCACAAATCCCCAAGAAGGGGACAGAGTAGGCAATGTGTCCAAGTTTCGTAGAAAACCGGAAATTTTGCATAACTGAACCTCTGTAGAATAGCATTCTCTAGAAAGACTGCAAAAATGCTGAGCAAGGGGCTGAAAGCCACACTTTTAAACACAGCATTTTGCCTGGACACTCCAGTCACATCATCTACCGTGTCCAACATCCCCTTTGAGTTAAAACGGTCTTCCACACCTGACCCGCCCAAGCAGGGTTTAAAACCCCCTGCCTGCTTTCTTTGCAGGTGCATCCCTGTCCATGCCAACAGGCAGTTCACCAAGGAGACAGGGGCACAAGATGCTACCCAATTTAAATGACAATGATGAGTTAGGCCAAGCACTATAGCTCCCTCCTGGATTTAAACCAGAGTGTAGTTTTCACACGGTAGTCGTGCCGTGGAACACTGTTTTGAAGCAGAAGTTACCCAGGTGTCAATGCATATAACATGGCCACGTGGGGCGCTCCGGCTAAGGGGGTTCAGCTGCCAAGTCCAAGTATATACTTCCTGGTTTCCCCATTCAGTTCTGCCACATACCCTCTCCACATCCTCCAGTGTCTACATGGAATCCTAGAACAAAGGTTAAAAGTCCCCAGGACTAGAAGACGCCGAGGAGTGAGAGAGGTGTGGGGAGGGACAGCACAGCCAAGCTGAGAGTTCAGGAGAAAGGGCCCTGAAGATGGAAATGAGGGGTGGCAAAGGACAGCCTGCAGGGCCTTGATCTTTGGAGTTTTCCGGTCTTCTTCCAGCTAGGCACACCCTATGGTAACCAGAACAGTACCAATCCGTCCCTTCAGATGGCTGTGTAAGCCTCGGGTCCTTGGATCCAAAAGAACCTCACCTACCCAGGTTCTAAGGAGTGTGTCTTAGAATCACATTCACTACAAAGACCTTCCTCCCTGACCCCAGGGCTTCTCTCAAGCCTTCTGGCCTCTCTCCCAGCTTCCAGCATACCCACCTTGCAGTCTAGACACACTGGGCTCTTCTCCGTCCCCCGAATATGCCATCACTCCCCATGCCTCTGATCCAGACAGACCCCTCTGCTTAGAATGCTCCCCGCTCCAGGCCCCAAGAATTCAAAAACTCTACTTGCTCTTCAGCTTGAAAGGCACCTCTCCCTGTGAACATCTTCCCAGCCTTCCAAAGCCAGGGACCGACCTCTCCTCTGTTTTCTCCTAATATTTTAATGACACTTTTAATAAAGCATTCGTCCTACTGTATTACAACTAAACGAGGTCAGGGATCCTGAGTGAGAGTTGCTGATTTAGTTTTACCATTCTTGTGCCTGGCGCATGGGAGGGGGATAGATCCTCACTGATGTGAAAAATACTGGTGCCTACTATGTACTCAATAACATTCTACATCAGTCAACTCAATCCCCATTGCATTGTTGGGGAGAATAACCATCTCTATTT